TGACATATCTGAGGGACCGCCTTTCCCCATACCTACCCCAGAGAGCAGTACAGTTGGGGTCACAAAATCTATTGACCCTCCCAGGCCCTAAAGATGCCAGGCTTGCAATTACCAGGGCCAGGGCGTTCTCAGTGGTGGCTCCATATTGGTGGAATGAGCTTCCGGAAGAGATTAGGGCCCTGCGGGATCTTCTACAGTTCCACAGGGCCTGCAAGACGGAGCTCTTCCACCAGGCCTATAGTTAGGAGCCGCCACCACATTAACATTAACATCATACTAACAGCTTAACTATAGCCCTGGCCCTTGGCTCTTGTCAACTAGTCTGCGCCACCCGTGTGTTAGGAAGATCAGGAGCGAAACGATGGTGGGATCTTGTGTACACTCTTTAAGTACGCCATCTTATAACAACTAACTTATTATGCAGCACTTTATAAATTATGATTGTTTCAACGGAATTGTTTTAGATGATTTTATGTGATTTTAATTGTTTTGTATTAACCAGTGTAAGCCACCCTGAGCCTGCTGTAAAGCGAGGAAGGCGGGGTATAAACCTAATAAAATAAATAAATAAAATGAGCATTTTAAATACACCATAAAAACAATTAAAACCAAAAACTAAAATATGTATTTAAAAACACAGCAGAACAATAATTAAATCATAGGACAGGAAGGTCGACTGAAGTAACAGAAAAGACCCTTTGCCAGCTGGTGGAAGAAGACTAACAGAAGGGGACAGTCCTTTTCATAGTTCTGGTGCAACGACCAAGAAAGTACCTTCTTGGGTTGCCACCTGCCCAGTCTCAGAAGGTGGGGACATTTGAAGCAGGGCTTCAGAAGGTAACTGTAGGTTTGTGTATAAGAGTAGATGGTTCACTAATATTCCATTAATCAGTAGGAACTGGTACACAACCAATGTAATGCTGTATAGAAAAGCAGCTGTGACTAAAAAGTTAAGCAAAGCCATCCAAATATCTTAATTTACACGTGTTTTCCTCCAATGAGAGCATATTCAAATAAATGTTAGTGATGTCTGTTTTTATGTAATTACATATTTTTTCTTTGTAAAATGTGTCATTCTAATATAAAGGTTTATAGTTTCAAAGACATAAAAGAGGATTCACATGCATTTATTCATATTTCTACTAATCATGTGGAAAAATGGGAGGAGGTCTTCTTCTTCGAAAAGGGTTTATGAAGGTGATTTTAAGTGGCCTTACCTCTCTGTACTCTTAACTTAAGCATTTTTTTGTAGCCCAGCTCGCTTCCACTATCACATCTTCTTTTTTGTAAAAATATATAATAAAAATAGACTTTATTCCCACCATCCACATGAATAGCTGTGCACATGGGTAAATATATACACACACCCCTGTCATGTCTACTTTGGCAAGAAGCCTATTCAAGAAAAAGAATCATTTGATTCAAAAGGGTATTTTAAATTTTCATACATTGGATTAAGATACCTGTACACTTTCCACTGTTACCTCTGATACTTTTGTGTGCTCTGTTAAATCTGTTTTCTGCTTAAACTTGACTAGGGCTGCTTCATGGGTTGCATTTTGTACTATGAAACGGATTCACAAATTTTAAAAATACTAGGAAATAACAAGCACCTTCTGTGTATTTTGCATACATAAGTAATAATTTGATTTGATTTGTTTGCTTGTTTCATTTATCCCCCCCCCTTTCTACCCCCTGGGGACCCAAAGTGGTTTGCATCCATCTCCTCTCCTACGTTGTAGTCTCACAACAACCATGTGGGGTAGGTTAGGCTGAGAGTGTGTGACTGGGCCAAGCTAACCTGGCAAGCTTCCACAGTAGAGTGGGGATTCAACTCTGGGTCTCGCAGATCCTAGTCTGGCACTTTAACCACTACACAACAACAGCTGTCATTCATAATTGCAGGCCCCCTTTGCAGGCCATCCATGTATTTTATACCCAGAAACTGATGCATGAGTACACAATACAACACAAAGTTGAGTTATTCCTTTCAAGCACAGGATCCTGGGTTTGATAAATCATTGGTTTTGTCCAGTAATCACTCTTCTTGCAGTTTCAAAGATATCAATACAAAATTTCACTTACCTAGTAAGGAGGAAGTGGTAATCTGAATGTTTTCTTTATGGTTTACGATCATAACATTATAAAACACAATAGCAGCTCAGAAGCAATATCAAAACTTCATGATCTTATGTTAATTTTTGAGTCTATAGCGTAATTATTTGGTCTCTTCTTAACCTTTAAATATTATTTACTTTTTATTTTTAGCTATCTTAGTTATTTCCGAAATTTTCATTTGGTGACCTGAGTGACTTGACTTTGTTGTGTTATAATTTGATCCCTTAGGTGACAAATTATTTAAATGTGAAGAATGTGCCAAGCTTTTCAGTCGCAAAGAGAGTTTGAAGCAGCACGTTTCCTATAAGCACAGTAGGAATGAGGTTGGTATTGTGACTTCGCCGCAAATGTGTAGAGCTTATTTGTTGGCTCGTTTTAATGTTCTCCCCTCTGCTATTCTTGAGGGGAGATATAAGAAAATCCCTTATTCAGACAGGTTTTGTGGATGTAATAGAAGAGAAATAGAAACTGTTGAGCACGTACTCTTATTTTGTAAATTGTTAAATGACATTCGAGTGGAATTTATAGAAGCCCCCCTTAGGTTGGTAGCAGGCCAACCGGATAGAATCAAGGTACATTATCTCCTTGCTTCACGAGATCCGGAGATCATTGAACTGACCGCTAAGTTTCTTCATGGTTTTATAAAACGGAAGAATGACCCTGATCACATTAATGAGTCTTAATTTATAAATTTAATAACTCAATTTTAAAGTTTAGAATTTAAATTTACTTTATGGCTCCGGCATTTTTGTATGGCCAAATCTATCTTGTGACAACTTGAGTTATGTTATAGGCCTGATTTTTGGAATGGTTTACCACGACTATCTGTGTTATAATGTCTATTGGATTGTATTAATATTGGGAATTGCTTCTAATATTGTATGCCAATAAAAGGTATTTGACTTTGGTTGGTATTGTGCTCCACCAGAGATTTATAGTGGGCTAAAGGGCAGGGGTGCAACCACAGTGGACAAAATCTGCTGATTTGTGATTGAACAAAGTTGCTGTTGTTCCCAGATAAATCTAGTAATATTATTTTCCCCAAAACTTTAGAAATGACTGCAGAAACATGGTGTATGATACAAAAGTAACAAAATCCGTGATATAGTGTATTAAAAAGCAATGTGTGGGGGGGTGTAAAGGAGAATTTTGAAAACTAAATACTCTTATAGCATGTTACTTGTGCTTTTCAGTTTTTTACCTTTTTATCCTTAGGTTGACAGTGAATACAGGTACAGGTGTGCTACATGTGAAAAAGCTTTTCGGATAGAGAGTGCATTAGAATTCCACAATTGTAGGACAGGTATGATAATAGTCAAATCACCTCAACTGAGTTTAATAAATATGATCCAGAGCTTTGCTTTGTTAACAGTGCAAAAATACAAAAGCAATATAAATAGACCAAATATGTTGAGCTCTAATTATATAAAATGGAATAATGTATGGACAGTTTCTTCTAATATCTCTCATAGTCCACTTTGGGACAATGTTCCTATTGATCTGTGATACTCACATCATTCAACCTTTGCAAAATAGGACAGTAGATTGCCAAACAACATTTGTTCTTTGACAGAGTACATAGTGGGAAAACAGAAAATATTCTGTACCCTTCAGGAGACAAATACTCCCAAACTTCAGTGGATACTTTCTAATTTTTAAAAAGTCACTGGAGAAGTTTTGAATGGGCAAGTTACATGTGTGAATAGATGAAGCTTCCTTATACTACTGAGTCAGATTAGTGATTGATTTGACTTTAATTTTGGCTGCTCTGTTTAGCAGCAGCACTCCGGTGCTTCAGCAGGTATCTTTTGGCAGTGGTTTCAAGGTGCTGCAGTCCAGACAGCTGGGAGAAGCTCTTCTTCCTGGATGCCGGCAGGGTTGTGAACTATCCTCTGACTCCAGTAGGAGGAGTTTCTTCTCTGCTTTCCAGTTCAGCCCTGTCTGGCAAGCAGACAGGACATTGTGAGCGTGTCCTACTGAGTAGCTCCACTCCCTTTCCTTTTCTACTCAAAACTTCTAAAAAACTTTCTGTATCCACTTTTTCTCTCCCCCTTCATCTTAGTGTGTGTGTGTGTGCGTGTGTGTGTGTGTGTGCAATGGCTTTGGCCAGTCCTCAGAGCCCAGAAATGGCCTGGCTCTGCTGGAGGCTATCTGCCCCACCCCAGAGTTTTTACCAAGATGAAGCAGTGGGAAATGAGAGAGGTAGCCAGCTAGCTCTAAAGAGCAGCCTTCTGTTTGTTTTGAATATGTTTTGAATATGTTCTTTTTGTAAAATATGCTTAATTGTTATGAGCAATCTGTTGGATAAGTGTCTACACACTCTATTGGGTTATGACCACTAACCCTTCTTTGTATTTCAATGAATGCAATATACAGTTTTGAGCACATATGGTTGTGAATTCTGGATGGGTGTTGTTTGTGGCTATACTTGTATGCTAAGGGTTTCCGGTTGTCTTTAGCCTCTCAGGGATGGCTCTGGTGGCAGCAGTGGCTCTGGTTGACTCTGGAGACCATCTGCGCAGCTGCAACATCAAAGATAGCTTCAGAGAAAACCCCACACTTTATGACAGTTCAAGGCTCAGATCCTGGCCTCTTGTTCAACCCATGCCTAAACCTCGCTCCAAACACAGCTGAGAGGGATGGCTTGGCAGCAGCAGCAACAGCACTGGCCTCATTTATACCTGGCCTAGGCCAATAGAGGCAAGAGGCGTAGTTTTACCAGTGGCAGCTGTTGGCTGTGGGGGGACAGGCCAAAGGCCTGCCTGTGTGGCAGTTGGATGCCCATAGAGGGGTGGTGAGTTGAAGTGATTTTGATAGAAACTAGGAGCAGTTGGGAGGTAAAATGGCAGTGAGTTACACCAAGATGCAATTCCATCAAATTTCACGTGAGACCACAGCAGAATATCTGTGGTCCATCAGGTTGGTCTATATAACAGGATCTTCCACTGTAACAGCAGACTGGCTAAGCAGATGTAAACTGGATCAAGTAGAATGGAAGTTACACCCAGAGGTCCTCAAACAGATATGCAATCAATTTGAACCCTGTCCATAGACCTCTTTACACCTCATAAGTGTCCGTAAGCAAAGGGAGTCCCTCCTTATTGGAGTCAAGGAAAAGCTCATGACCCTTCCTGTGTCCAGGAGGTGTTTCTCCCAATAGGCCAGAGTGTAGCACCCTGGAACTATTGAGAAGGGAAATTCACAGTTAAGTGAATAATTTTTTTCATTCCAAGCCTTGCCACCTGAAATCTTCTTTGTGGAAGGAGGCTAAGGGATCTTCTGCATGCAAAACACTACACTACTATTGAACTATGCCCAGTCAGTGCAGTGGCATTCATGATTATTTTCATGAGGTGGACAGTGCCACCACTATGTGTCACATCATGGTCAAGGTGCTATTCAAGACCAGATACTGATGAGTACTCTAGCGTAAGACAGACAAGCAAGTGGCTTGATGGCTTTGAGAGACAGCCCCTGTTCAGATGAGGAAGCAGGATTTGATTGGCACGTTCTTAGAAACAACTAAATGTAAATACTACATTTTGATTCTTCTCCTTTTTTTGCAGATGACAAAACATTTCAGTGTGAGATGTGTTTCAGATTCTTTTCTACAAACAGCAACCTCTCAAAACACAAAAAGAAACACGGGGACAAGAAATTTGCCTGTGAGATCTGCAACAAGTTGTTTTACCGGAAAGATGTCATGTTGGATCACCAGAGGAGACATCTGGAAGGTAAGTACATTTGTAATGAACTTCCTGGATCCTGACTTGGTGATGGAGATTGGGGTATGAGCAGATGTTTCCCTCTACATGCTGGCTTATGGCGACCCCATAGGGTTTTCAAAGCAAGAGACGTTCAGAGGTGATTTGCCGTCGCCTGCCTCTGCGTCCCGACTCTTGCATTCGTTGGAGGTCTCCCATCCAAATACTGGCCAGGTCTGACCTTGCTTAGCTTCTGAGACCTGATGAGATCAGGCTCACCTGGGCTATCCAGGTCATGTACAGGCTGATATTCTTTCCAAAAACAGACACATTTTTCATATATATATTGTATAAATGAAGTAACTAGATAGATCCTGCGTGGTTCTTTTTGTCATTCTTGGTAATGAAGACATGGTAGATTACAAAGTAGCCATCGAATCATTCAAACGCAGCTGTTTGTCTCAAAGGCACAATCTAGCTCAAATACTACAGGAAATTTAAGAACTGCTCATGAATGCTCAATATTGATTGCATAAATTTTGTCGGAAAAGTTTTGTGTTTCTTTTGTGCCTTAAACACTCATACTAATTTTAGTTATTTGCACCGGCAATTTATTGCTGGATATGTTTGTGGCATGGAAGAGTTTGCAATTGATAGAAGAGATCTGGTATTAAATTATAACTGTTTGCCCAGGAAGCTTGAAAAAGACAACATAGATGAAGTAGAATGAGCTCACTTCCCTCCTTCTGCACAATTGGGTGAAGTCTTCTTTTGAAAGATGGCATCATCTGTATACATGCTGCTACTTTTCAGCTTGGTCTGGAGGCTCATGTGTCTGTGAAGACAGCACAGAAATGTACTATTTCTCTGCCAAAGCCAGTGCTTAGTGATACACCCATTGTATGCCATGCAATGTCTTCTCTAATTTTGTTCTCCAATTTTCCTATGCTTGTCCCTGAATAACAGCTATAAATGAGAGGATAAAAAAGAATATAATCTTTCATGATATTATCAGTATAGTTTCAGCATTAGTTATACAAAAACCCTACAAGACTCATTACAGTCAAGAGCTTGTGCATTTAATGTAAATAAGTAGTTTATTGTTACATACTGAAGGGTTGCAACAGTCTGGATAGTTAGGTCACAATGTGTTATGGTGAACAGAGTCTTTGCTTTATATGTGGGACAGGCAAGTTCAGATTGTTGAACACGAAATTCACTGCATGGCCCAGGACCAAGGCATTGTCTCTGAATCCCACGTGTTTATTTATATGCAAGCCTGTAACTGAACAGCGCTAATAGTGTACACATTTTCAAGGATGGTTTTCATCTGCATTATGGTGTGTGTTATTTATATATTTTTTAAAATCATCAGTGTAAGTAGAAATCATGGTTTATTTTATATTTGTTCTTTATTTTTGGTGGGAACTGTTACCTTAAGGTGTGAGGCGTGTAAAAAGAGAGGACTTTGAGCACAGCACAGACAACATGGTCCGCTACAAGAAGGAGCCCTCTGGTTGCCCTGTGTGTGGAAAGGTAGGATATCTTATTTGTTTTTAATTATTTAGTTCATTTAAATCTCACCTTTCTCTCCAATGGGGACCCAAAGTGGCTTACATCACCCTCCTCTCCTCCATTTTATCCTCACAACAACCCTGTGAGGTAGGTTAGGCTGAGTCTGTGACTGGTCCGAGGTCACCCAGCAAGCTTCCATGGCACAAGTGAGGATTCAAATCTGGGTCTCCCAGATCCTACTCCGACACTCTTAATCACTACACCATCCTGGCTCTCATTGGTGCACATCAGTAGGATCTTTTATTTCAAAGACTGTCCTCACAGGGTTTTTGTCATTTCAAATTAAAATTGCTATATGAACACAAAAATAGGTAACCATATTTACTAAACCTGATTTAAGGATTTACAAATTTATTTATTTATTTATTATATTTATATCCCGCCCATCCCGCGAACGGGCTCAGGGCGGCTAACATTGCGGTACAGTGTACCTAATGAGATACAAAAACATTAAAACTCTATAAATATCATAGACAAATACTTTAAAACATAAATTAACAGTTTCTACTAAAAGCATGTAAACAACGACATTAGATGGCGCACTTCCAGACCTCATAGTACGTTACTCAACATCCCTCGTGCCGGAGAGCATAGCGATATCCAGGACCAGATCCAAGGTCCCAGCCTTCACTAGGATCATTGGTGGTATTAGCACTCTTGCAATATTTTGTTTATTTAACAGTGTCTGATAACTGACCTCTTGCTCTGAATTATTTCATCAAAATGTCTGTGCTGTTGCAATCTTGAGTATGCTGTTCAAGTGTGTATCTGTAAGGTTAAAACATGAGGTCGCTGAGCGATTGAGAGAGTCTGGCGAAGCAAGCTATGATGCAGCAGCAGCAGCAGCAGCAGAACTGGAAGCAGGAAATGGCCAATTCCACTGTGGCCTGATAGAAGCCCTCTGTGGGCCTGATTCGGTCCCCGGGCCACATGTTTGACACCCCTGGCTTAGAGAAATTGGAAGGAATTGTGAATACTTCCTTATTAAGATTCACCGTCCAAACAAATAAGTTAGAAAATATCAGGGGAATTAACTCCCCAACAGAAGCGATATGGGTGAAAGCTGACAGGAGATTAAAAGTCTTTGGTTCTGGATGGCTCATCTCAAAGGGATGAAGGGGTAGCTGTTACTTTTCTACAAGGAAATGCATTAGAAATGTCCACTGAAACTGTGCCTAATGTCAAGGACGCTATAGAAAGTCAAGGGGCTTCTTTTTAAAAAGTGGAAGGTCTGCCCCAATGAATTGAAAAGGAGGGACCTCAGGCTCTGGCAAAAGAAATGTAAGTCAATAATTAGGCATGCAAAAAGAGATTTTGAGGAACAGCTTGCTAAAAGCATCAACACAAATAATAAATATTTTTTCAATTTATCCAGAGCAGAAAACCAGCCAGAGAAGCAGTGCGGCCTTTGGATGACAAAGGAATAAAGGGATTGCTAAAGGAAGATGGGGAGATGGCAGGGAAGCGTAGTGATTTTTTTGCTTCTGTGTTCACTGTTGAAAGTGTGGGGCATGTACCCATGCCACAGCACCTATATTCAGGAACGGAATCTGAACAGGAAAACAATGTTAATCCACTAACCGGTTTGTCTGTTTCAGATATTTTCTTGTAGGAGCAATATGAACAAGCATCTCCTTACCCATGGAGATAAGAAATACACCTGTGAGATATGTGGGCGTAAATTCTTCAGAGTAGACGTACTAAGAGATCATATTCATGTTCATTTTAAGGTATTATGTTTATTTATTTATGTACTTCCTTTACACTTTGCTTTTCTTCCCAGTGGGGACCAATGCTCCCTTCTAAGCTGTGGAGTCTTGTGAGCAAAAATTCTATTTTGTCAGCTACTGGCATGAAAATTGTGAGTGAGCGATTTGGCTACTGCATAAATTAGTTTGCTCTGGAGCCCTCCTTCCTGAGCTAAGGCAAAAATGTGTGAGCCAAAGGCTAAAAAACTGTGAGCTGGCTCACACTAACTCCGCTTAGAGGGAACACTGGTGGGGACCCAAAGCAGATTACACCCTCCTCCCTTTCTCCATTTTATTCTTGCAGCAACACTATGGGAAAGGTTAAGCTCAGAGGCAGTGACTGGCCTAAGATCACCTGGTGAGCTTCCATGACAAAATGTGGATTCAAACCTTGGTCTCCCAGATCCTAGTCTGGCACTCTAACCACTATGCCACATTGTCTGTCTAAACCACTGGTTTGCTCAAAGACAAGTCCCAGATCTTCAGAGGTCCCCAGCCATAGCACTCACAAACACCTTTACATAAGAACATAAGAGACACCAATGTTGGATCAGGCCAAAGGCCCATCCAGTCCAACACTCTGTGTCACACAGTGGCCAGAAATACCAGGTGCCATCAGGAGGTCCACCAGTGGGGCCAGGACATTAGAAGCCCTCCCACTGTTGACCCCCCCCCAAGCACCAAGAAGACAGAGCATCACTTGCCCGAGAGCCCCTATCTATACCTTGTGGCTAATAGCCACTGATGGACCTCTGCTCCATATGCTTATCTAATTCCCTTTTGAAGCTGTCCATGCTCGTAGCCGCCACCACTTCCTGTGGCAGTGAAAATTCCATGTGTTAATCACTCTTTGGGTGAAGAAGTACTTCCTTTTATCCGTTCTAACCCGACCGCTCAGCAATTTCATGGAGTGCCCACAAGTTCTTGTATTTCCTGGGGCCCACCAAAATCTAGAAGTTTAGAAAGTAGACAGGACCAGGTAAGCCTTTCACCTAATAGGACTTCTGATTGGCCAGTGGAGATCTGATTGGCTGCACAATCACTGAAGGTATGCAAGAATGTGGACATGCATGAAGTATTTTAAAACAGTATGTTTTAAACAGTATGAGCTGTACTCTAGATAAAGGCATCCTGTTAAACAAAGTTTCCACCTGAAATGTTAAAAGAGTTACTATTAGTGCTATGCACTAATGTCACTCCCTGAGAGTTGGCTGCTCCTCTTTTGGCAGCCATTTTGTGGGTGTGCCTACCACTCTGCGTCAGAGTTCCAAAGATGCCCACAGGCTCAAGAAGTTTGGGGACCCCTGTTCTAATGCTTTACAATATGCAATGCAATTTTACTGAAGTCTGTGTTTGACTAGGGAATGGAACACCTATCAAAGAGGAGAATTAAGGACAAGCTTTCATAAGAGGAGCATTGTACAGATTGGTTAAGCCACTGGCTACAGGCCAGTTTTGAAGTCCTCAGCCGCAACACTTGCATGGTGCGGTTGCTGTGCCTTAAGACTGAATTAGGAACTGTATATTGGGATGGATATAGCCAACATTTTTGCTTAATCTCCGTCAGTTATTCTCCTTATTACAACACCAGTACCATAGGGCTTTTGTCCATGTAGGAAAAGTTGGTTGGATCTAATCCATTAAATATGTTATTACTATTTCTATCTAAAGGATGTTATGGTTGCTCAAGTGATGTTATGACATAATGAATACAAACAAAAGATGAGGAAAATGTGATTTTCTTTTCTGTATCTGTTATGAATAAGACGTGGGAAACATATGTTGATACGTCATTAAGGGATAGGTACAAGCATGAATGTTATTTTAATAGTTTTTAAGGTCATTCTTTTGTTTGCATTTAACAGGTACCAAAGCTTTTCCATGCATCTTTGTAATAGTAGGTGTCAGGAAGCCCAAGCCTGGGTCCCTCTGAACCACTGTCTCACAGACTAGTAAGCAGTGCTCAAACTCATGGGTTCCTGATGTTAAATGCACACAAGAAGACCAAAACCTTTATAAAAATACACACAGGTTTATTGAGCAAATAAAATTAAGAATACTAGGCAACACAGTCTCTAGAGTTAATTAGCAAAACAAAAACACAACAAAATCTAACTTTTTTTGTTTCTGACACTTAAGTACCTGGCATTAACTGGTGTACCATTCAAAACTGCTGAGTCCAGGCTAGAAGCTTATGCATCTGTCCCACGGGACCAAAAGTTAGCACAGCATTGCCCTTGTCTAAGGCCCAGTTATAATTTCCTGCTCTCTGACATCAGATGGTCTTCGGAATCCAATCAAAGTGCTCATTTGCTGGAGTCCTCCAAGATATGATGCAACTTGCTCCTGGCTCCTCCCTCCCATCTAGTCACTGAACTGAGCACAGATTACAAACACCTGCAAGCTGAAGCAGACCCACTATTATTCATGTTAACCCTTGGTAAAATTAGGGTGCTTTGCCTCACAGTAGGCAAGAAGCTGGTATGTACCATTATGTTATTCAGATTTGGTCATCTGAAATCAGGCAGAGGAGCAATGAGCTGTACTCTAGATAATTCTGTCTTGTTATTAACAGAAGTTCAACTAAGAGGCAAGTGAAGGTGTAATTTATCTCAGTTGCTGAGGACTTGGCTTGTATTAGTATTGTAGAAACATTACAACTGTCTCAGCTTTGTTTTTTGGTTGACTAAGGTTTGAGTTTAAACCTCCACTCTGTGTAGGACATTGCAATAATGGATGACCACCAAAGGGAAGAGTTCATTGGCAAAATAGGAATCTCTTCAGAGGAAAATGATGAAAATTCGGATGGAAGTGTGGATTCTGAGCCTCACAAGTATAGCTGCAAAAGGTGCCAGGTAGTTTTACTCCTTTCAAACATTTTGTGGAGCTGTGGGATGGGAGAGTTGAGAAATGTCAAAAGTTCTTTAATCAGGAGACTTGTATGTTCTCTCATGTGCACGTGGAGTCTTGCATGCTCATGCCAGTGGAGGGAGCAGGTTTGCACCTGCAGAAAACATGGAGATGTGCTGCCTCCATTGACTTTAATGTCTAAGTGGAGTCTTCCAGCCAGCAACTTCTGCTCTACTAAGTTACTGGCTGGAAGACTCCATGTATACATTAAATTCCTAACTGGAGCATTTGTATGCAGTGGCAGTTTGCAGGATTGAGTGTTGTAGACAGCTAGCCTGGGGAATTATTTACAAATTAGTAAGAACTATAGGGAGCATTATTGTTATTAATAAGTTGTATAGGGAGTCATGAAAAGGTCTTCTTACTTATCTCTACTACATGGGTAGCTTCTGGAATTTAAATAGTGGCCTCTGAAGAAGATTTTAGCCAGTAGTTTAAGCACCATTATAATGTGGTGATTCCAAATTCAATACCCCCACAGCATATATCTCGACAGCATATATCTGAATATTGATTCCTTTTACTATTTATCTCAGAATTATATTTACTCGTGGTTGATGTTTGCAGATTTTTCTTTCTGTTTCCAGTGTGTGATGCATTCACTATTGTTTCATTCTTTAGTTAACATTTGGCCGAGGAAAAGAGTATTTGAAACACATCATGGAAGTTCACAAAGAGAAGGGATATGGCTGTAGCATCTGCAATAGACGTTTTGCCCTGAAGGCAACTTACCATGCACACATGGTCATTCACCGGGAAAACCTGCCTGACCCCAATGTGCAGAAGTAAGCAGATATATCTGACAAAATGAAATTAAGGATGTAATGTTGCCATCTATACATGGGTGAATGTTATTGACTTCATTCAGAGTTAGGAATGAGAAAGTGGAGGCTAGATCACAACCTTTTTCCTAGAGATGTTGGCAAAGCAACCAGCAAGAACAGTCAAGAACAGTTATTGTAGGGAATAATGGGCTAGTGGCTCATGGTGCTTGATCTTTGGACTTCTACTTAGAGCTTGCCCACCTTGGAAACGTTATTTAGACAGATTTTTCATGTAACCACCAGGGTCAGCTGCCCCATTTTCTTGCCACTACCATGCACAGATAATATGATAATTCCTGTCCTCCTAGCAGCCATTTCCAACCTGCTCAGGGAAAGAAGGGAGCGATTTCACCCAAGGCAGATTGTGGCTGTTGCTGCACATTCACATGAATCCTGTGACCCTGGGAATGGCTGCTCAGGAGAGGGGAGAGCTTGGAAGACTTGGCAGTCCTTGTACTGGATCCAAACTATATCTTTTGAAATTCACTAGTCATTTATGACAGGAAATTTGAAAAATTGAGTCAGTGTGTCTCTATAGGGGCTATTCCATTAGGCAGTTGGACAGATGTACTGAAAGGCAGTTGAGTTTTTATGCATAACTTTAAGGTGCAAATATGTGCTTCTAAAGAGGTATTTAAAAATGTGGTGTGTTTTTTTCCAAATTACAGTACACATGCGAGATTGTAGACTTTCAGTTAATCAGAAAAAGAATATCACTAGCTGATCTTTATTTCCCATTTTAGATATATCCATCCATGTGAAATCTGTGGAAGGATTTTTAACAGCATAGGGAATTTAGAACGGCATAAACTTATTCATACAGGTAGACTTATTTTATTATTATTTTCTTAATAACGAAGGTTTTGCTTTTCTGCTGTCTTATTATTCGACTGTTTTGTTATTCCGGAACTCCTTTTGTGGGGGAAATACATTAAAATGACTCATTCATATGTTGAGGTGGGATTCGGCACTCAACACCCCAAACCCTTCTGTTGGAGAAGGCCCCTTAGAGGAAGAATGCCCTCAGTCACAGTACCTGTGGCTGGGTTAGGCTATAAAGCAGTCCTGTGCTATAGGAAGCACATTGTACATTCAATTATTCAGCATATGTTGATCTTCCCACACTACATGCCTCTTTCTGTATTTCCTCCCATCAGAGCAAGAGGGAGTAGGCAGAACTGCTGAACTGCAGCAAAGGTAGATAGGAGTCGCATAAGTCATACTACTTAGGCCTTGGTTGAAGGAGGCAGAGAGAACTGGCTTTCCCAGACATTCCAGCTGGGCAGGGGTGTTCTCTCCTTCTGGGCACAGAAACATTTCTGTATCACTTCTGTTCCTTGCAGGGTCTGCCACCTACACAGTGTAATGGAGTACATTCCTGGTTGAAAATAGCCCCCATTGTTTGCTTCAGTCACTTTCTTACTGCCAGTTTGGTGTAGTGGTTAAGTGTGCGGACTCTAATCTGGGAGAACTGGGTTTGATTCCCCACTCCTCCACTTGCACCTGCTGATGTGACCTTGGGTCAGTCACAAGCTCTGGCACAGCTGTCCTTGAAAAAGAGCAGTTTGTGTCAGAGTTATCTCAGCCTCACCCACCTCCCAGGGTGTCTGTTGTGGGGAGGGGAAGGGAAAGGAGTTTGTAAGCCGCTCTGAGACTCCAAGTGAAGGGCGGGGTATAAATCCAATTTCTTTTTCTTCTTTTTTCCACCTATCTCTTGCAATTTTTCTCCTTTTTGCTCATTTTTTGTCAGTTCTTTGAGGAATTTTTGTTATAGCTTTCTCTGTTCTTCTCTGCTTCCTCTGTCATTCTACAGGTCCTTTTAAAATTCTTTGTCTTCCAAGAGTGTTTACTGCTTTATAAAAGACGTTAAAAGGGGTACTTTGTATATACTTGCACATAAAATTTCTGTTTTTTCCTTGGGTATTTTGTTTATATAGCAATCTCTTTTCTTTGTTTTTAAAAGGTGTGAAAAGTCATGCCTGTGAGCAGTGTGGTAAGTCATTTGCAAGGAAGGATATGTTAAAAGAACATATGAGAGTCCATGATAATATCCGAGAATACCTGTGTGCAGAATGTGGCAAAGGTATGGATATCTTTTCGTATCTCTAAATATCTGTGATTCGGCATAAAATTACTACTGTTAAATTTTGACTCTTCATTAATAAATAGGGAAGTTCTCTATAAATGATTTGGAATAATTTTTCTAACATTGATAGTATACTGGAGATATTCCTATATAATTTTACATCAGCATAGCTCTGCAGCAGAGCACATTTTAACTTCTGAAGTCTCATATACATGACTAAATGGTATGGTGCCATAATGCTGATAGCTTCTTTTTTTTTACCTACCATGCATATGCTTCAGAAAAAGTAAATCAGGGATGTTATACCCATACCTGAAATATCCCTACTGATGATAATTCATGATGCACCAACACTGTCCTGTAGGGGAGTGATAGGGTTGCCAAATGTGCTTACCTGTCCCGGCGGGGGACTTTGGGTCGTCTATGTTTTCCCCTCAAATGGCTATGCCCCGCCCCAGCGTGATGACGTCACAGGGAAGCGACGTGCATGCGGGGGTGGGGTTTCCCCCGGGCCCCGATTCCGCGGGAGCGGATATCGGGGATCCAAAGCGGGGGGAATTCCGCCCCGCGGGGGGAATTGGCAGCCCTAGGGAGTGATTCGCAACTGGTAGTAGGCATACTACTGATTGGATGCAGAAGTAGTTAGGTGGGATGCAGGGCTTTCATAACAGTTACTAAGAATTCACTCTCCTTTGTGTCCACCTACAAGTGTGACATGTTGTCTCCTGCCAGCTCTACCTGTCATGGATTATCCATCTGTGACCCTTTGGCACACTTGTAGTAATAACAGAATGCCAAAAACATATTACTGTCCTTCTAAGAAAAATGAGGGGAAGGATGTTTCTATCATAGTGGGACTCAGGTTATTTGATAGGGGAACTGGTGGTATGTAGCTGTAGCAAAACATAGCTGTAGCAAAACTCTTCTTGTGCACTGCATTAGTTACTGTTACTTTTTATCTCAGTGTTATTTAGTTGCAAACACTGTCCTGAAGAGCTACCAAGCTAAAAAATATCGGGAAAATATATTATTGGTATTTTCCGGATATTTTTTCAGCTGGATATAGTGCCCAGTATTTACTCAGCTATCTAAAAATGGCCAACCAGTTAAAAAAAGACAACCATCCCACCAGAAAACCAAAAATGGCTGACCTGAAAAATCCCAAAAATATTTGGTATTTTTCAGAACTTCCAGATAGCTGAAAGTAAAGGGTGTCTGGGTGAACTCGCCACTTTGAGAAGGCATTTAAACTGGCTGTAAGCCCTTTAAATGCTTTCAGAGTTCACTTGCGGCTTGCAAAAAGCATTTAAAGGGACTGTGATCCCTTTAAATGCCTTTCCTCTCCCCTCCATTGGAAACATTGGAGGATGCGGGTGACCCTTTTGGGCAGTCAGGTTTAAACCAGGCTGCCCAGCAGAGCCTGTGGGGAGAACCCTCAGCGGGGGCTGGCTCCTCTATGCAACTCACTTTATACCAATCTGCAAAGAGGAGCCAGCCCAGGATTGGAGGGGATGGTGGGAGCTGACAGCTCTGTGCCGCCCTGGCTGGGGCTGGCTCCTCTTTGCAGCTCAGTGTAAACCAGGCTGCAAAGAGGAGCCAGCTCAGGATTGTCTAGGGCGGTGCAGAGCTCTCAGTTCCCGCTGCTCCAGCTAATCTCATGTTTTTCTTCTTGGGTCCATTAGATCCGAAAAAATTCATGAAACCCGAATATTTACTGAATCCAAATACTGTACCAGTATTGGGATTCAGGAATATGAGGAAATACTGATCTTTTTCAGGTTCAATATACCCAAACCCAAAAAATACCGGGTTGTTGTTTTTTTGCACACCCCTAGTATCTATTACCAGTTTTATAGCTCCCGACAGAATTAATTGTGGGTCTTAATTTGAAAGGACGTACCCTTGATTTCAGTGAATCCTAGTTCCGGGTATTTTAATTGATTAATTTGTTAGAGGAAAATTCCACCCAGATTCTCATCTCATTGCACTCTGACTGCTCTACAGAGTTAGCAAACCCCACCTCAAACTGACAGTTACTTGTCAAGGTTATTTTGAAGGCCTGGTAGCTAGTTCACATGGTTCAGCTGTGATTCTGGTGTTGGGTAGGAATTCACTCTTATTCAGAAAGTTTGGGAGACAGCCCTCATTGGTTAGGGCTGGGTTGTGAAATTCCTGGAGATTTAGGGACGGAACCTGTGGAGAGTCGGGTTTGTGGAGGGACCACAACAGGGTACAATGCCATAGAGTCCACCTTCCAGTGAGCCATTTTCTCCAGGGGACTTGATCCCTGTAGTCTGGGGATCTTATATATATATATATATAAAAGCCCTAATGCATTGGCACTTTCTGGCTCTTCCATTGGCTGTGCTGTGTGTTCCATCAGCCATTGGCCCATCAACCACTACTCAAGAGTAGTTGCGTGAAATTGGCTGGGGGCTGGGTCTGCTCCTCTTCCCCACCCACTGCTACCCCAGCCACTGTTCCCTGTCAGAATAAACTGCCAAAACGGCTGTCTCTCCTGATGAAAATGCTTCTGTGTCTGGCTGGTTACTGAAATGACTATTCCTGTTCAAGAAGAGGCTTCTACTGCTGCTGCTTCTCCTGCTGGCTGGCTACTAAGGTGAGCCAGCAGCTACCAAATCTTTCCCTTCTTCTCCTGCTGTTGGGCTAATTTCCCCCTCAGTAGCTTTTGAACTATGGTGCTGGAGAAGACTCTTGAGAGTCCCTTGGACTGCAAGAAGAACAAATCAGTCAATCCTCAAAGAAATCAACCCTGACTGTTCCCTGGAAGGCCAGATAATGAAACTGAAGCTCAAATACTTTGGCCACCAAATGAGAAGGGAGCACTCACTGGAGAAGACCCTGATGCTGGGAAAGATTGAAGGTCAAAGAAGACGGGGACGGCAAAGGATGAGATGGTTAGACAGTGTCATCGATACAACGAACATGAAATTGAGCCAACTTCAGAGGACAGCGGAAGACAGGAGGGCCTGGCGGGAGCTGGTCCATGGGGTCGCGAAGAGTCGGACTCGACTGTGCGACTGAACAACAACAAAAGCTGTTGCTAGGCAACCAAGCTTGGTTCTGTCAGCAAAAAGGTGGGGGGGAGACCCTTTCTAGGCCTACTTTGGCCTTTGTGGGGAACTCATTGGGGCCAGTCCTGACTAGGGTTGACAACTCCAGGTTGGGAAATTCCTGGAGATTTTGTGGTGGAGTCAACAGAAGGCAGTGTTTGGGGAGGGGAGAGTCCTCAGGTGAATAGAATCCCATAGAGTCCACCCTCCAAAGCAGTTATTTTATCCAGGGGGAGAGAGATATATGTTTTCTGGAGCTCAGTAATGATACCAGGTGATCATCAGGCTCCACCTGGAGGTTGGCTACCATAGGTCTGGCAGCACCCTCTGAGTAACTTCATGACACCTGACTGCCATGACTTTATGAGGCTTGGCTGCTTGCTCCTGTTCACCAGCAGCAGCCCCCTTGGGTAGTCAGTGTGGCATAGCAGTTAGCACTTCAGAGCAGGGTCTGCCAGACCCAGGTTCTTGCTGTGGAAGGTCCATGGGGTCGCGAAGAGTCGGACTCGACTGTGCGACTGAACAACAACAAAAGCTGTTGCTAGGCAACCAAGCTTGGTTCTGTCAGCAAAAAGGTGGGGGGGAGACCCTTTCTAGGCCTACTTTGGCCTTTGTGGGGAACTCATTGGGGCCAGTCCTGACTAGGGTTGACAACTCCAGGTTGGGAAATTCCTGGAGATTTTGTGGTGGAGTCAACAGAAGGCAGTGTTTGGGGAGGGGAGAGTCCTCAGGTGAATAGAATCCCATAGAGTCCACCCTCCAAAGCAGTTATTTTATCCAGGGGGAGAGAGATATATGTTTTCTGGAGCTCAGTAATGATACCAGGTGATCATCAGGCTCCACCTGGAGGTTGGCTACCATAGGTCTGGCAGCACCCTCTGAGTAACTTCATGACACCTGACTGCCATGACTTTATGAGGCCTGGCTGCTTGCTCCTGTTCACCAGCAGCAGCCCCCTTGGGTAGTCAGTGTGGCATAGCAGTTAGCACTTCAGAGCAGGGTCTGCCAGACCCAGGTTCTTGCTGTGGAAGCTGAGTGGGTGACTTTGGACCAGTCACAAATTTTCAGCTAACCTACCTCACAGGGTTGTGGTGCAGATTAAAAGGGGGAGAGGAGAATGATGTAAGCTGCTTTGGTCCCCACTGCGGAGAAAGACTGTACTTTTCCTCCTGGGGAACCATTGTTACCAATCTCCAGGTGAAGGCTGGAGAACCCTCTGAATTACAACTGCTCTCCAGATGGCAGAGATCAGTTCCCCTGGAGAAAATGGTGGACTCTGTGTCATTATACCCTGCTGAGGTCGCCACACCAAATGGACACTGAGTGCCCGCAAGGCCAGGGCACCCACCCAGAGCCTCTTTCTAGAGCTCGTTGTATTTATTTCCACAATGGGCCCTATTCCTATTAATATATAAAAGCCAAGCTATGCTGGCAACAACTCACCTACTCTACTGTTGGCCACTGGGGAAACTGCCTTGGCACCTATTGGCACGTCCCACCAGCTGCTCCATTCATATACCCCCATTTTTGACGCATTGCACCTTGGGAAGCAAGGGAAGCAGGGAACAGGGGAGAAAAGAAAGGCCTGGACATCTCCCTGACTTACAATTGATCTCCACACTATAGAGATCCATCCCCATGGAGGGTGAGCTCTATGGCAGTATACTTCACTGAAGTCCTTCAACAAACCTGGCCCTCCCCTAAGAATTGCCAACCTCCAGGTGGCACCTGGAGATCTCTAGCTATTACAACTGATTTCCAGATTACCAAGATCAGTTCTCCTGGAGACAATGGCTGCTTTGGCTGCTTTGGACAGGTGACTCTATGACATTATACCCTACTGAGGTCCTTCCCCTCCCCAAAAGCTGCCCTCCCCAGGCTCTACCCCTCAAATGTACAGGTATTTCCTGTAACTGGCTACAGAACCGCTTTCCAGAACCTTGAAACCCAGAAAACATGGCATAGGAGGAGATGCTTCTGTACATTAGCTGCCACTGCATAGCCCCAAATCAACATAAGACAGGGGTGGAGGGAACCATACCTGTTACCATGTGGCTCTCCTCCCATACTACCCACTTAGGGCTTGAGACAGCCCTGCTTTATAGCTAAGCAGAAGGAAATAAGCATGGCTCACCTCCCTCTATTTTCCCCTTCCCTCCGCTGCCCCACCAGCCACAGCCAGGACACTCACCTGTAGCCTCTTTCTAGAGCTCGTTATATTTCTTCCCACAACGGGCCTTACTCCTAGTCATAATTCTGGGAAATCCCCAGGTCCCACCTGGAGGTTGACAACCCTAGTACCTACTGACCCTTTCTGCCTGAAGATACTCTGTGTGCTCTGGGACATTATGCTTTAGCTTGAAAAACCAGTGTTGCTGCTATTCAGAATAAGTACGTAGACAGTCAGTTTTGTTATTTTCCTGTACATTAAGGACTGAACAGTATGTTTTGTTTTTAAGAAGTTTTCGTGACTTTCTTCTGGGGGGGGGGGCTTCATTTTCTGTGAGTTCTGGGGAGTGACCTGAACTAAGCAGAGCCTAATTTTGATTGCTTTACCGCACCAAGGCAGGGTCAGCCTTGACAGGTAAACTTCCTCACACCTGCACTGATTTCATGGCCTCAAGTAGATCCCCCCTGGTTGTCTGTATGTTTTCCCTCAATTTGGCAAACAGTATCCCCATATAATTCATGTTAGAATAAAAGATTAATTCACCTCCCCCAGTGTTGCAGCCACTTGGAAGGGTGGCGGTGGTGAGGCTCTCAGCTGTTATTTATCAGTTTAAAATGCTCAGAAAATCCTGTTGCAGCTCTTCCAGCATCTCCTAGATCCTAGGCTGACTTTTCAAATGCTGCAGCAGTTGAGTTAAAGAAACTTGACATAGAATACGCTCAACATTATAATTCATTTCTGAAAGACCGATTTCAAAACAGCAATCTTCCATTGTCCTTTTTCATGGGTTTCTTGAAGGTTTTATGTGGAATGTTTTCTAAAACAAGCTGTAGCACAAAGGTAGTTTCAGTCCAGTTTGAAGAGGCATTTTGTACCTTTCTCCAGGAGGTGGCCATTGACTTAAAACTTTCTCATGCAGAGTCTTTTCACTTGAGTGTTGCTTAGGGGAAGAGTGGTGAAAGAGCTTCTCCTTCAAGCTTCAGTTTAAGCTTTGTTCTGTACAGGCATGAAAACAAAACATGCGTTGCGCCATCACATGAAATTACACAAAGGGATAAAAGAGTATGAATGCATGGAGTGCCATCGGAAATTTGCACAGAAAGTCAACATGCTGAAGCACTACAAAAGGCACACAGGTGAGCCTGTTGACAGAAGCCATTTAATAAAGCAAACTAAATTGCCAGGAAGTCCATTGGGGAGTGTTCTGCTATTCTCTTCGCTGACATCATTGTACAGTACAGTCATTCTGCAGTCACTGTACAGTGACATTAGTTACTTCATAGATCCTTGTCTTATGCATGTTTCCTAAGAAAGTAAAACTGAGTTCAACTTTCTGGAAGATGTGCATAGTGTTGTACGTAGTAACTGACTTGGCTATATTTTACTTGCCAGCAATTTTATATGGCACCAGCTGTGTCTTCTTTATGGAATTCCCAAGTTATTATGGAGGAAGTATGACAGACAAATACATGTAATTTGAATTATGAATAGATCTATAGAGGTTGACTCTGCTAATAAAGAACTACTAGCATGATTGGAGTAGCTGATAAAGACAGGAAGATAAAGGAAGATATTCATATTTTGAATCGTGTAAACTGTGAATGTGAAGAACTGTCAGTACTAATAAAAGCAATGAGATGCTTTGACCTAAGAAGAAGTGCATCTGTGTAGTCTTTGCTAGTGAATTGTACAATTCTGGTGTTATGAGGTCCTTTGTTTCATGAGGGATGAGGGTCTAAAACAATATGCTGTTCCTGGGCCTGCCCTGGGTCCTGTCAATGAGATGTATGCTGAGAGTTTGAAACTTACTTTCTTAGTTGTGATTCTCAGCCAGTATGAATTGGAATCATGGTGTGTGGAGAGAGGGTTTAGGCCAGAGGTGTTAAACTCATTTGTTATGAGGGCCAGATCTGACATAAATGTGACTTTGTCAGGCTGGGCCATGTGTGCCATAAAAGGTAACGCCAGGTACAGGAGATATAAACTTTATAAAAGACACAGGCAAACCAAATTTATGTTATTTTTTACTCAGAATACAAACAAAACCAACTAATTCTTAGCAGTGAAAGCAGTTGATTTACTGAGGAACCCACAGAAGCCCCAATAAGACTAGGGTTCCCCCCCCAAGGGATATCATAATGGGGGGGGGGGTGTTTCTTAACATTTCCATACAGTTACTTTTTGTATATATAGCACTTTTAGGAGATGAGTCATCTTCCTTGCAAGTAAATAAGGTAGTTTTCAACACACATCCCAAAACGCCCAGCCTCAGCAACTGAGCATGGCTGTGATCCGGCTCTCACTCTTTGTTTCCTACCCCCATCCTACCTCAGAGGATCTTGAGAGGCACACCGAACTTCCCTCTCCACTGCCCCATCCCCACCAACAACAACCCTGTGAGATGGGCCAGGATGAATGACTGGCCCCAGGTGACCTGGACAACAGGGTCTTGGCTCAGGAGCAGGAGGGCCTGAAACTGGCTCTCCCAGTTCTCATCTCTCTTTGCCCTCAGAGTGGCACGCTCAAGGCATCCCAGTTGCCTCCCAATCCATGCACCAGCCCTCCTTCTCTCTTCCCCACTGTCCTAATCCCTTTGTTGGTGAACAGCCACCCCAAATGCTCATTCTTGCCAACCCCCCTCAAAGTCACCATTTGAAACAAAAGTGAAGCTAGTTGGTGCAGCAGTGGCAGCTTCAGCCACTCAGCTCCATTTCCCCTCCCCCCATGTAGTGGCTTCGCCAATCCTTGGTGAGCTGTGGTTGGAGGAGGAGGACAGGGAAAACACCATGCCTCCTCTTTCTCTGCCTTTACTGCCATTCCCCCCACACACACTAGTTTACCTTAGCCTCTTAGCCCCTCCTCCTAGCCATTTCCTTTCTATTTCTTGACAGCTTTAATCACACACACACCTCACCACCTGCTCCTGCTCCCCCGGCAATAGCCTCCTGCCTTCCCTCCCTCACACCATTTGCCTGCGTGCTGGATAAGAGCCCTGGACAGGCCAGTTCTGGCCCCCAGGCTGTATATTTGACACCCATGGTTTAGGCCTTCCCTCATGCTGTTTTCCTGACCTGAAAGGACCTTGGGGAGCTATTGTTTGCCCTGTTAGCAGTTGTGTAGAGTGAAACATGTACCAATGGTATATTTTTCTGTGGAAAAATTTCTGCCTCACATTTGTAAATATAGTCTTTTTTATCTATGGCTGTGTAAGGGCTTGTCATGATCTGGGCTGTGCCACCAGAGGCCTACTAGGCCTAGGGAGCCTCGCTAGCAGTAGGTGAGGCTGGGCCTACAACTCCCAGAAGCCCCTGAGAGGTTTTGGAGCCAAAATTGACCAATAGGAAAAGAGAAGGGTTTGGAATAAAAGATCTGGAGCAGCAGGAAAAGCTGTTCTTCCCAGGGAACAGGGCCAGGAGAGGCTGCTGTGGGGGAGAGACCCTCATCCTGAGGGAAGGGTGAGTAGTCTAGTGCCACTTGGAATAGTGAGCTAGGGACAGTATATATTTAGATGTGTTAGGGCATTTGATTTCTTTTCACCCACTTACTGTTATAATTCTGCACCTTGTTTGTTTGACCTCCTATAAAATAAACTATTTTCACTGTCCACTCTGCCTGGTCTTCACCCCTATTATTCGGCCAAAAGGGAGGTCTAAAGGTCTTGAGAGGGTGGTCTGGGCCTTCTCAAGGGAACCTGGAACCAGAGTGGTAGAAGCGTTAGGTGACACCCCACCTGAGTCGTGACAGGGCTGTTGTGCTACAAATCAGCCATGTTAGAAGACCTAAACAAGGGATATGAACCATGGATAAAACACCCAGTGTTTCTTTTGCTAACATTATTTAAATTATTTATTTATAGATTTAGAATGGAAAATTTTTCACTTCAGATTTATCCAGAAAATCCACATCATTGCCTGTTAGGGAAACTTTTATGTACTGATGGAATTTTCCACACTGGGACACACAGCAGTTCCCCAGAGCTATTTCATGATGGAAAACTAACAATGAGGGACATGACTTTCCCACACACACTATGGTCTCGATCCAATTGCCTCCACATGCCTGAGAATCCGTGTTTCAACCAGTAATTTCCAGCATATGTCTGTTTGATAGGATCCAAAGTAGACTCGGGAGTTACCTGTTGTGCAAGTTTAAAACTTATTACACCTATCACATACTCATTGGCCTACATGAATTAGAGCTTGCACCGATTTCTGGAGATGTCCCACTTGTGCCAATGCAGATTATCATTTTGATCATAATGTATTTTCTGTTTGGCAGGAATCAAAGATTTCATGTGTGAGCTCTGTGGGAAAACATTCAGTGAAAGGAACACAATGGAGACACATAAACTTATTCACACAGGTAAATGAGCAGTTTCTAAAGTTAATTTAACTAATTCTGGATTCTGTACTGTATAATTCTAAAAAGTGTTTGCTATGATAGAAATAAAATGCTAAAAATGATTTTTGTTTTATTGTCTGCTAGTGGGCAAGCAGTGGACATGTTCAGTGTGTGATAAAAAGTATGTCACTGATTACATGCTGCAAAAACACATCCAGCTGACCCACGATAAGGTAGAAGCTCAGAGTTGTCAGCTCTGTGGAACGAAGGTTTCTACCAGAGCGTCAATGAGCCGTCACATGAGGCGAAAACATCCAGAGGTGAGTATGCTGACATCTTAATACTTGATGATTCTCCTGACTTCCATGTGAGACTTATTAGTTGTATCTATTCTTGTTCTGAATATTGTTTTTATGCACCAGTGTTAGTTGCAACTTTGATTCATTGTGATGGTTGCTTAAATCTGTTCCTCACATCTTTCCAATGATGCTTCTGAAGAGAATCCATCTCACAGTATCCATGGAACAAAGTTTGAGTCCAGTGGCACCTTTAAGACCAAGGTATAAGCTTTTGTGTGCAAGCACAATTCTTCAGATACAGTGAAACAGAATTTCCTCAACCATTACATATAGGTAGAGAGAGGTAGGGATGGGATTAGTTGCCAGGAAAGGATAGTTAAAAGTCAAGATGCATAAGTAACTGGTCATTATAGCTGAGATTGGGTTAAGGCAGTTGGTAAGATCTGAAAGCAAGAAATTGCAAGTAGATAAATTGGTACCACTTCAGTGGGAAGGTAACAGCGTTCCGTGCGCCTTGGTGTTTAGTCATGCCGGCCACATGACCATGGAAACGTCTTCGGACAGCGTTGGCTCTTCGGCTTTGAAACGGAGATGAGCACCGCAACCCTAGAGTCGGATTCGACTGGCTTTCGAGCAAGGAAACCTTTAAGATCTGTGAATGGCTGTAAATTAGAATACAAATACAAGAGTTAACAAAAAGATGTGAGAATGAAGTTTGAGTCAAGTGGCACCTTCAAAACCAACAAAGCACAATTCTGGGTATAAGCAAGAACTGAGAGACTTAGCGTGTGTAGATGCACACTCCTTCAGATATACAGAAACAGATTTCCTCAAACTTTACACATAGGTGGGGGAGTTAGTTGCCAGGAAGGGCTAATTAGAGTCAAAATGCATAAGTAACTGAACCATAAATACAGCTAAGATTGGAGTGACACATTTGGGAATCAAGGTTTTGGTACTGACCTTTAAGGCCATGTGCATTCTGGGACCTGTGTATCTGCAGGACCACCTCTGGTATGTCCCCCAAAGAGCTTTACGCTCTGGTGATCCCTAGCCCTAAAGACATCCAGCTGTCCTCAACCACCTCTGTCCTGTTTCTCACCTGGTGGAACTCTCTGCCAAACAACATCCGCACCCTGCGGGGCCTTATGCAGTTCCACAGGGCATGCAAGGTAGAGATGTTCCACCAGGCTTTTGGTTGAGGACAGCACCGAGTCCCCATCTTATCTGGCATTCCCCCTCCCTCCCCCTCCCTCCCTTACTCTGCTTTCTTCTCATATTGTGGGACAGTAATACCTATTGTATGACCATTCTGGCACCATTCTGTTGTTATTTTTAGCTATTTTATTTTTCTCTTTAGCTATTTTAATTAGATTTTAAATTGTGCAGTTACGTCGTCAACTGCCCTGAGCTCTGTGAATTCAGAGGAGGGCAGTATACAAATCTAAATAATAAATAAGACCCGTGAATAGCAGCAAATTGGTATACAGATAACAAAGGCATTAACAACCGATGTGAGAACTAAGTTTGAGTCCAGTTGCTTTACTGTAGCGTCTCCAGAAACTTTGGAGCAAAGTAGGCTTGAGAAAAATTGGAGGAAAGCCAAGGAAACCCTGGGAGATGCATGTATGCACCATGGTGCTGTGGGGAAGCGGAGGGGGGGGGGAACACACACTTTCCAACAGCATTAATCCTGGTCAGATAACTAGGGTTACCACCTGCAGGTTGTGGCAGGAGCTTTCCTGGGATTGCATCTGATCTCCAGTCAACAGAGATCAGTTCACCTGGAGAAAATGGCCACTTTGGAAGGTGGACTATATGACATTATATTCCATTGAAGTCCCCGCCCTCTTCAGGCTCCACCCCCTAAATCAAGAACCAAAAAGGTTAGTTACAAACCAAGTATAGGGTCAATTACTAAAAACAATATATATAACCCAAGTAATATCAAAAATACACGTGTTTACTGTCAAAGGGGTAAAAACATTTATGGGCCCAACTGTAGCCTCATTACAGAATAAAAATACTATATACACAAGTGGGAACTATTTCAACCTGATGCGTTTTGGCACTAATAGGACTTTCTCAGTGGTCAAGCAATATTTGTACATAAGGGCTCACAATACAATAGTAAAATGATCTAATACTAATACGATACAATAGTAAGACAATGAGCTCTGATCAGTTGTTTGCACCTGTATTTTCTGGACTAAAATTGGAAGGCATACAATTGCAACCTTACTCAGCACGCATGCATCTGACTGTGGCACAAGGCTAGACTCCAGGAGGCCTCATAAACATTCTCCTGCCCTGTGTAAATTGATCTTTATTATAAAGCTCCTTTTTTGGTTCTACATCAACTTGTGAATTGTTTTACTATTATATCGTGAGCCTTTATGTACAAATATTGCTTGACCACTGCGGAAGGATTAGTAGGGCCAAAATGCATTGAGTCAAAATAGTTCCCACTTGTGTATATAGTATTTTTATTCTGTAATGAGGCTACAGTTGGGCCCATAAATGTTTTTAACCCGTTGACAATAAATACATGCATTTTTGATATTACTTAGGTTACATATATTGTTTTTGGCCCTATACTTGGCTTGTAACTAACCTTTTTGCTTCTTGATTAAAAAAAATTTGGGGTTAAGTTTGTTTCCCCTCCTTTCTTTCCTCCACCCCCTAAATCTCCAGGTATTTCCCAACCCAGAGCTGGCAACCCTACGGATAACCCATGTCGAAATGTCCTATGTCAAAAGAAGTCCAAAGTAACAAAACCAGATAGGGGAAGCAGCCACTTGGGGGCAGTAATTTGTGACATTTAGCATCCATGAACACAATCGCTGCTTCCTAGAAGTGGTGAGTCACAGTGCTTATAGTTCTATATATATTCTGCTTTAGATGTTACTTCCTCCCCAGAGCTGCTTATTCAGCACTGACATCTGAACCTTCCTGTGTTGTAATTAAATGTTGTATGGTAAGCAGCTGCAGAGGAAAATATTATACAATATTTGTTTCTGCTCATGTGGCATTATGGCTGCTCTTGTGCAATGCTGTCCATTTTGAAAAATATAAACATATATAAAATCTTAAATAGTTAAAGCCTTGTTATGAGCAGCTGGTTGTTATTCGGCCACTAATACTCATGTTTCCTTACATGTCTGACATATGTTTCCTTGACTTATTCCAGGAAACTTAGAGGAGCATTTTAGCCTCGAACAACTGTGTGAGGTAGGCTGTATTGGGTGAGGGCTATGGCCAATGTTCCCTCTAAGCTGTGGAGTCTTGTGAGGAAAAATTCTGCTTTGTGAGCTACTGGCATTAAAGTTCTGAGCAAGCAACATGGCTACTGTATAACTTAGTTTGCTCTGGAGCCATCCTTCTTGAGCTAAGACAAAAATGGGTGAGCTGGAGGCTAAAAATCTCTGAGCTAGCTCACACTAACTCAGCTCAGAGGGAACACTGGCTATGGCTCAGTGGTGCAGTATCCGCTTTGCATGCAGAAGGTGTCAGGTTCAATCCTCAGCTTTCCAGTTAAAAGGATGTGTTGAAGGACCTCTGAGACCAAGATGCTGCCAATCAGAGTAGACACTGATGATCTTCATAGACCAGGGATCTGATGGTATAAGGCAGCTTTGCTTGTTGATGTGCAAGACTCGATCAGATCCCCACAGTGAGCTTCATGGATGAGAAGGAATTAGAAGCTCAGTTATATCATCGAGTATCTTCTATGCAGGCACACATGAGGACTGCGCATGAGGAGGCCTGCCATCGGGTAGGTCTTTATAGCTAAAAGGTTCCAGGGGGCGCTGCGCGCCAGAGCCAGAAGCTAGTTCCCACCCAGGGACCACCTGCTGCTATGCAGCAGCATCCTCACCCTCAGTTCCTCTTTTGCCGCTGAAGAAGAAGGTTGTGTTTTCTGGAGTCTCCAGCTATAGACCCAAACCAACAAACATAACCTCTCTCTGATCCATTCGGCTGAAGGGCACAGTGTCTCCACATGTAAGGCCTGACAGTGCATCACCTCTAAAGCACGGGGGGGATAGAGCGTCAAAACTTAAGGCAGCATTGTGGGAGAAGGCCCTTAAAGTCTCAGAGCCCTCATTCAAGTCGGCCCCAGACAAAGCGCCCAATTCCATGTCTTCAGAACAACACATTTGGCTCCACTTCCTGGATCCATGTCTCACACTTCCCTCTGCCTCATTGTGCCTCTTTTGAACCATCGGCCAAAGAGGTTAAAGGCAAGGACAAGGAGAAATGCAAATCGGCCTCCCAGCAAAGTGCTACCATCTGCACTCCCAAGCCTACTCCAACCTTGCAGAACTCCATCTCGGGGTCTGAGATCCCCACCCATTTTTATCTTGTATGGGGATATGGGTGCAGGCTTACCAGCTGGTCAGGTTCTGAATGAGTCTAATCTGGAACAGATGGCCACAGTGATGTGGTCTCAGCCTCAACCACCTATGTGGTGGCCTTCACACCTATATACGATGTCTCCAGGATGTATGGATAAATGGGGTGACAACTTCGCAAGTCCCAGGGATGTGAGTTTATATCATTACCATCATTGGGTGTCATTTTGCCCACCTTCAGCAACAGTTGTGCACAGGCTGTATTCTCCTATACCTGCAGTGAGGGGTGAAGAGGCAGCAGTCGAATCTCATGGATCTGACACAACATCATATCCAAGCCCAGACAAGGGGGTAGGCAAGCTGTCTCCATCATCTCCCACAGAAGATCTCTGATTGTTTGGAGAACAGATGATTCGCATGGCCCAGTCCCTCAAGACATAAGTCATTACCTTGGAGCACAAACCAAAAAATGATACTGATTCACCTCTACTCAGAGTACCCCGGCATTATTGCATTCCCAGTGTTGGAGGGCCTTGAGGACCTTATGCAGGAACTGTGGCAAAAGCCTACATCACTCCAGCCTACCTCGAGAAGAGTACAACATTTTTATAAGATCAAAAAAGAGCAATTTAACTACCTGATGATTCATCCTCCACCGTCTTCCTTGAG